CTATGGGTTCTGCCCAGCATGGCCAGAAAAAAACTCTTCACCGGGTCCGGGGTTGCTCTCCTCGCGGTTTGAAGTACCTGTTGTCGAAAGTGACTCTCATTAGCAGCATGACAAACACAGGAAGATAGGAAGCTCATCAAACTAGGTGTTTCAAGTAAAATAGTTGAAAATAAGACCATATGCAAGGGGGTGGGTTCTGATACCCTTTGGCTGAATTTAAATCCCCGACCTATTTGCCTTAAGCCCACTAGTTAATATCGTGAACTTTAGTTTCCTCAGAATTTATAAAATGGGGTAACAATAACACCTACCTCAAAGGGTTGTTCCCAGGATCAGTGAGACAACTCATTTTACAAGTTTAGCATGACTGGATTAAGGAAAACGCTTATTTTATTTAGTTAAAATTAAATTATACTGTATTCAAAATATTGAAGAATATCAATAAAATAAAGCTCTCTTCACCTTTCTGTGTGCTCTCTTGAGTTCTGCTATACAGAGAATTGCACGTAACTATAGTTTATTTTTGTTGTGCTTCTGTAAGTGATGGCGGTGGGGAAGACAAATTCATCTTTTCCTGTGAATGCTCTTTCTTCATGAATGTGACAGTACAGAAAGAGTTCAGTGGCCCGTCCTGCAAGCAGAAGGACCCAAGTTCAATCCCCGGTATTCGGAAGAAAAAAAAAAAAATGCGCACACAGAAAAAAAACAGTGTGGTGCTCACAGGCTGCTTCACCTCCCTGATTCTAAAGAGAGAACACAGCTCGAGGCACCTACCTACTCTTTGGGTCCGGCTGCCCTCCGGCCTGGCACTTCGCTCTTCCTGCCTCCCGGAAAGTGTGAACACAGCACGCAGGGTCGCGCGGGGCACCACAGGATGCGTGGGGCATGACGGAGGGCGTGGGGTCGCGGGCTCAGGGAGACTGACGAGGAGTCATTGACGCGCCCGAAGCGCTGATAGGTTTTCTGTTTTTAACTTTTAAACAGGCTTTTAAGGGAGACATATTTCAGTGGAATAAGAAGCGCTTCATTTATATATTGTGCCAACTGGAGTAAGCCGAAACGTGAATCACAACAACCAAAAACACTGTCCATCTTCATCTTAGCAGCTAAGCACCAAGTGTTTCAGCACACAAACCAGTCCTTTACTACACAAATGAAGAGAATAGGCATCTGTGGACAACCACAGAACAGAAAACACTTGCAAACCACACACAGGAGTTCTCAGAATGTCTGAAATTTCCAATTTCATGATCCTTGCACTGGGTAACAAAATACAGAGATTCAGCAACTGACATATTTGGACCAATTTGTAATCTTTAGCGTCTTAGGACCTGTGAAGAAGATGCATCTGCTCTTTAAAAACCTTGATGCACAGGCTGGGTGTGGCGAGCAGCGACGTCAGGATCCTGCCAGCAGGTCCTAAACCGGAAAGGACGAGGACGGAGAGACGGGAGGCACTCTTCTTCTCAAGGTACTCGCTGCTCTGTTTCGTACCGGACCTCTCCTTCTTTACTCTCCACCTGCGCAGCTGCAAGAGAATACCACCCACATCCGGAAGGAAACTGTAAGTACAATGACAACTATTATGGGATACCTTTGCTAGGCAACAGGTCAGACCACCAGCTGAACCGGCCCGTTGCCATAGCGACGGCACGTCCACACTGCTCGGGTGAATCACAGGTCAGTATGGCTGTGCTCTCTGTAGCTGGGGATTTAGCTCAGCGGTTCAGTGGCCCGTCTTGCAAGCAGAAGGACCCAAGTTCAATCCCCGGTACCCGAAAAAAAAAAAAATGCGCACACAGAAAAAAAAGTGTGGTGCTCACAGGCTGCTTCACCTCCCTGATTCTAAAGATAGAACACAGCTCGAGGCACCTACCTACTCTTTGGGTCCGGATGCCCTCCGGCCTGGCGCTTCGCTCTTCCTGCCTCCCGGAAAGCGTGAACACAGCACGCAGGGTCGCGCGGGGCACCACAGGATGCGTGGGGCATGACGGAGGGCGTGGGGTCGCGGGCTCAGGGAGACTGACGAGGAGTCATTGACGCGCCCGAAGCGCTGATAGGTTTTCTGTTTTTAACTTTTAAACAGGCTTTTAAGGGAGACATATTTCAGTGGAATAAGAAGCGCTTCATTTATATATTGTGCCAACTGGAGTAAGCCGAAACGTGAATCACAACAACCAAAAACACTGTCCATCTTCATCTTAGCAGCTAAGCACCAAGTGTTTCAGCACACAAACCAGTCGTTTACTACACAAATGAAGAGAATAGGCATCTGTGGACAACCACAGAACAGAAAACACTTGCAAACCACACACAGGAGTTCTCAGAATGTCTGAAATTTCCAATTTCATGATCCTTGCACTGGGTAACAAAATACAGAGATTCAGCAAATGATATATTTGGACCAATTTATAACCTTTAGCGTCTTAGTACCTGTGAAGAAGATGCATCTGCTCTTTAAAAACCTTGATGCACAGGCTGGGTGTGGCGAGATCCTGCCAGCAGATCCTAAACCGGAAAGGACGTGGACGGAGAGACGGGAGGCACTCTTCTTCTCAAGGTACTCGCTGCTCTGTTTCGTACTGGACCTCTCCTCCTTTACTCTCCAGCTGTGCAGCTGCAAGAGAATACCACCCACATCCGGAAGGAAACTGTAAGTACAGTAACAACTATTATGGGATACCTTTGCTAGGCAACAGGTCAGACCACCAGCTGAACCGGCCCGTTGCCATAGCGACGGCACGTCCACACTGCTCGGGTGAATCACAGTCAGTATGGCTGTGCTCTCCGTAGCTGGGGATTTAGCTCAGCGGTTCAGTGGCCCGTCTTGCAAGCAGAAGGACCCAAGTTCAATTAACAAAAAAAAAAAAAAAAAAATCTGCACACAGAAAAAAAACAGTGTGGTGCTCACAGGCTGCTTCAAGCATAGATCTACCATTTTTTACAAAGTACTTTTATAAAATTCATTTTAATGAGTCCTTATTATTATTATATTCCTAGAAAAAGCAGAGTAATGTATTTTAATGTAATATATAGAAATGGATCAGGTTAGAATCCTTTCGAAAATAAAATTTTCTAATTTTACATGATCAAAGTATATTAACAGCAGATGAAATCTCTGTAATGTACATTATCCTGATCATACAAAGGAATACTATATAAACTTTTTCTTTTTTTTAATGTAGTGATTATGATGAAAATGTAAGAGGCGCAGAGGATCATTGTAATGGGCTATCTCCCAATTTTCGTACCCCTCCCCATCTCTCACTATTACTATTCATAAGCTATCCCCAGTGACATTAGACCCAGGATGCAGAACTCCATAGTTCTGTTTTTCACATGACATAATTATTGCCAGAAAGATGTGCCTGATTTGATATAGGAAAGGAACTTACATAGCCTAATAAGGGTAGTATTATACAAAATAAATGCATTTGTTTTCCATTATGCATAGAAAAAAGTATAGTTTGCCAAAGAACATGTTGTAGGGCTTTCCAATTCTGCAAATAATTCTAAGTAAATAATAATTCATTATAAACATAGTAAGAGAACTGCTTTCTGATTTAATATTAGCACTGGTGAGTATTGTTGTATTTGCCTATGTCAAAGTACGTCATAAACTCAGCAGAGGGCGGAGTTTCACAGAATGAGGGTGGGAACTGCTCTCAACAGTGCCTGTATTTATTCCTCTCTATTCACAACGTAAAGCATTTGCCCCAAGCCTTATTATTTTAAATAGGAAAACAATTGTGCAAAATAACTTTTCCTGATCAGTTAAACATTATAAACTTGAGGGGAAATGTTTTATGTTAATATGAAGTTGGGACAAAAATGTAGTGTCATGAAGGGGATCAAGTGGATTTGTTTCAACATAAAGATACCATAAATATTTGAATGTCAATGTACATTTTCATATATTTTAGAAAATGTGCTCAAACAGAACACCCCATCATACCTATTAGTGGCAAATATCCCAACGTGATAGCCAGATGACCTGGCCCTGGTTGTACGGCCCACTTTTCTGTGCCCTAAGCAAGCTGTAATTTGTATAAGCCTCATTTTCCTCAAAGGTGAAACGGACTGCAGTTTTTCTGCTTTTCACTGTTGCTTGTTTTGATGTAGATGTGTTTTCTTTGTTTTGTTTTTTGCTTCAGACTTAAATAAGGGCTTATGCTGAACATATCTAAAGTGCTTCCTATGGCAGCTGTAGCTTATGCACATCAATTTACTCATGTAGTTTCTGTCAAACTCCAGCCATTAAAAACAAGATTAAGTCAAAGTAATAGAAATATGCAGGTGATGTAGCAGAGTGCACATCAAAATTTGATTTCAAAAGGCCAAGGTTCAAAGCTAGGCTCTACACTTAAGAGACACGTGACTTGAGAAAATTATGTAATCTTTCAGCATTCAGATTAAAATAAGAATTAGACCAAATCATGTATTTATAAACATAGCACAATGCATAGCAATAGCTAATACCAGCATAACACATACTATCACTGAATATGTTAGTGAATCTGAATCTTGAGCTTTAAAATATTTAACATAAATGCTTAAATTTATTTCTTCAAATCCCATTTTGTCCTTTTTGTCCAAATCAAATTGTTGCACTGGAATCTAATAACTGGTCAAAGTTCTTATGTATAAGAAGTTAACTTTAAACAGACAATAAATCAAGGTTTGAGGATGTTTTTATTAATATATGGGGTGCAGTGTGTGTGTCTAAGTAATATAAACTATAAAATCAATGAGACCATTGCCAATCAGAAAAAGATTACTAATTCAACAGTTAATTCTTTTGGATGTGTCCCAAGATAGATATTCCATATTTCCAATTCTACTTTATGTTGTGATGGTAAACATATTTCAGAATGTGTTCAAAATAATCAAACTTAATAAGAGTATTTTAAGTTCTCATGTAATGTGATTTTTTTATCTAATTCTAAAGCTAGCAATCATTAGTCACTTTAATATCAATATGAAGAGAATACAAAAGATAAGATTAGAAAGTTACACCATAGTGACTTTCAATGGCTACACCAACTGTTAATAAGTTGATTACTTCACATAACTAATTTCAAAGTGCACAGCCTATTACACACACACACATAACTATCCATATAGAAGTGTAAATCTGCCAGCAATGCTAAATTAAAACTCTCCAGAAAAATAAAAAAGGTCCTTAGAGAACTTTAGGAAACACTGGTTTCAAATCAATTTATAAATCAATTCAGTATTATCAATGCAAATGTTAATGCTTTCCTTGTGTCTTTCGCTTTTTTGAGTAATAGTCATAATTGACAGAAATTACATTCCCCAAGCAGTGTTTCTTTTAACCATTACACAGCAAACCCCACACATATTTTATGACTTAATATTACTATGTATTACTAAAAAGCAAGTCACCACAACACAGCAATGCAAACCAAACTTATTGTGTTCATTCTACAGTATAACTCATTTGCAAAATTAATTTAATTTTGCAAAAAGTGAGCATTCATGCTGTTTACTCATATATAAATCACCATATTTCCTCTCCAGTAATGTGGATACTAACTTTGTCATGTGTGTTTTCTGTAAAGAAAAAAAGCATTTTAAAATATTATTGCTACACCATTCATTTTTTAGGTCTTCCACAACCAGGTTTTTCAACACAGGAACTATGAGAAGAAATGCAGTCCAAAACAACTAAAATACAGAATACTAAAAGACTTACCTCTTGAAAGCAGTGGCACGTTACAATGCAAAGACATAAAGAAAGGAAAAAAAGATAATATGCTAAACTACCTCATGTAAAACAAATTCCCTTCCAGACTGGAATATAAAGTTCTCTCTGCTATTCACACAGTAAGGAGAGTACATAAAACAGCATACCAAAACCACTAATTTGTACACATGGAAGAAAGATTTAAATTTCTTAAAGTGCCTATCCATTTTTATAAGGAATAAGACAATTTACAAAGTATTAAATATTCTGAAAGTATAGCTTCTACATTTCATACTATTGATGAGATGAATAGCTAACTAATTCTTCATAATGACGTTCAGTAAGTTCTTGTTTGTGTCTTATGTTTAGGAATTGTATATAAATTCGGGTGAGACAGCTATCAAAGTGGCAACTAGCCACTTATCTATATTAAAAACTAAGTCTTCTGGGTACTTTGAGGAAAAAGACAACTCAGGCATTCAACTCACTCTTGTTCTGAACAAGATTATTTTAAAAATAAAAAGTAACTAATGAAAAGCAACAATTCTCAACTTTCAAGAGCTTTCTTTTTGCCAACATTATAAACCCGGGGAAATAGAACAGTAAAAAGTTTGACAGAAAAGCAATTTGATAACTGATGCAGAAAAAACACTCATCAATACCAGAAGACACCTACTCTTCCTGGTGACAAATTTCCCATCGACTTAGGTGTAGGATTTATTTTGATTTTTATCATCTAAGGATAGTGAGATAGCATTACAAATTGGTCTTAGAATTTCACTACATTGTTTAAGAATAGTAAAGTTTTCACTGTCCTAACATCTGAAAAACATTTGAAATCAAGCTATTTTTAAAGACTTCTTTACAAATGCTAAGCGGTAACTTGCTCGATAATGATGCAAAACACATTGTAATCCCTTTTTTTCTCCTAAATTTTGCACAGTGCCGAACATCAGGCATGTGTTTAATAACACTTGTTGATTAAGGAGTTACATAAAGAACCTGCAACTGCAGCAGTACCTAATTTCAGCGTGAAAATAAATTTTACATCATTTGAAGTTTAATCACCAAAGTTGTACTTATAAAACACAAAGTTGAAATTCATTTTCAAACTAGTACTTTTCCATAACTTCAACTTATTTTTACCTGTACAGTTTTCCATTGAGAAAACATCTCTTACAAAATTTTAAGAGGTATTAGGATAAAAGATTTAAGTTAAACACTGACTACCTTCAGTGGATTTTTTTTTTTCCTACTGAGCCTAAAATTTAATAAATATAGCAAACTTTTTCAGCTTTATGTGGGGGTAGTGTTTGAGAGGCAGGCTCTTCCTTTTCAGGTTATCTATTTTGACTACTCTAAAATTTATTATCTTAAAATTGGCACACAGAAAACAATTACAACCAAACATACCTCAAAACTACATACTGTTTCTCTTCCTCACATAAAAGAAGTCATACTCTTTGAAGTACACTAGTTTTCCTTCACAAACACATCTAAACTTTTAAAAGCCACCCACACCCATGAAGCCATATAAATTATACAGCCCAGTAGCTGTTCTTCCAGAGTTGCTCAGGGTCTCAGCAGCAGCCTGGAACCCTGCCACTTTCTCTTTCAAAGCCTTGCGGTTGCCATGACAGCAGGGCTACAGAAAGCATGGCCTCTTCATTATGTGAATTTTATGTGAATTAGCATTCAGAAAGGATTATGTCTCATCTAAAGGACCTATCCACACACTTACATTTTCCTGGGAACTGGTACTGAAGAAAACCATCTCATGTGTAGTTTATTTCCTTTTAAGGTATAATTCAATAAATCTAATCAAAACAATTTTATGTAAATGACTTTGCCTGTTAAAGTATCTTCACTGAATTCCAAAAAATAAAATGAGCATCTATAAATGAAGTTGGCTGAAAAACAAAGTACAATAAATGTGGGATTCAACAAGTTTTTTTTGTTCGTTTTTTGGTACCGGGGATTGAACTCGGGTCCTTGCATTTGCAAGCAGGCCACTGAACCGCTGAGCTCAATCCCCGGCCCCAACAAGTCTTTAAATGTACCCCCAAAAGGAAAACTAAGTGAATTTTCAAAAATTTCTGCTAAGATCACATGCTGAATGTCTGCTCATTTTAGAAAAATCTCTAGAGTGCTTCAAGTGCTATAAACACCTGTTGTTTTCATTACTACTGTGTGCTTTTAAAAATTAAATCCTAGCCTAAGTTTATCTGAAAAGAATGTTATCTGCTTTAAACTAATGTTTCACCCAGATATGAGTCAAAAACTCATTTATTTTCGAAACTACTTCCTAGAGAAAAAAAAAATCTTACAAATTCTTACTTTCCTTTCTCCTTAGGCTGACATATGTAAGCTAAGAAACCTGTATAACACTAAACCTCCAGTGGTCAATAGATGAATGGGAATTTTGAAGAATAAAAATCTAAGATTTGCTTTGCATTATAAGTGCCAGCTGCTCAATACTGCCAAGAGCTGGAAGAGAAGAGTTACAGAGTGTGCTGTCGGTTCGGAATACATCAAAATGTATAATTGGGTTTTGACTGCTTTGGAGGAAGCACTGTGTGTATATAATACAAAGGGCACATGTTACTGAAGCAACTATAACTTCTTCCTGAAAGGAACAACTGATTAGAGGGGATGTACTTTTCTGGAAAAAGCTTGAAAGAGTTCTGAGAAGAGCATAAAGCACCCTTGGCCACCTACCCATTTTGCTGTTTACTGTCACCCTGGGATCCTCTTCTCTGTTCCTCTGCTAGCTCCTGAGCAGTTTCGGAACACACGCTGGTGACTGTGGGCTGCCGTGGGACATTAACCGCAGCTTTACCAGCGCTCAGCACAGATGAACACCGGTCAGCACTAAGACTGGCATTAACATGCAGTCCAGACGCAGAGGATGGGGGAGGAGTGACAGCAGCCACAGGTGGAGGGGAAGAATGTGATGAAGTGGTCGCGTGGGCTGGGGTGAAGGCGGACGATGGTGATGGGATGGAGGTGACTTTTGGTGAAGACACAGAACCAAAGGGCCATGGTGCTTTATTGTAGGCCATGTTGGGGGGTGGAAGTGACTCTGGATACAGCAGGAGATATAATGGGCACAGGTTTAACTACTTCTTTAGGTTCTCCCTATGTGAAATAAAAATAAACATACACATACATAAAAACACATCAAATACATGCAAAATATATCCACTGAAAAGAGCAGACAACTGACTTTTAAAAAACACAAACATAAGCATGGTAGCAGCTCAAATCTCATGTTTCAAGTAATACAGGGTAACATGCATGCTAAGTGGTCCAATAGGCATAATGCAGTAATATAATAAGCATATTTCTATTTACAAAAATGAAAAGCTTCAAAAATATTTAGGAAACACCAGAAAAACCATCAAACAGCCTAAAGGCCATCATAAGTTTTAATTTAGATACATTCCCCAAAGTAGAAGTTCTAAAATAAAGCACAAGGTCCCAAGTTCAATCCCTGGTACCAAAAAAAAAAAGCAAAACAAAAAAAAAAAAAAAAAAAAAAAAAAAAAAAAAAACAAAAGTGATGAAGTTCTAAAATACCCCACAATAAAAAGAAAATACTTTGGTAAATAAAATGATTTTATTTTAAAGTATCCAGGGCCTAAATTATAATTCCATCTTTCAATGTTTAATTTCTCTCCACAGTGCATCATATGATTCATGCAGAAGCACCAGGATATTTTAAATTCAATTGAAAAAAAAAAGCACGGAGAACAATTTTCATCTAACTCAAAAATGCCTACATTCTGCTTATCTAGAGTCAAGACTCTGAAAAGAAAAAATTACATGAACAAAACAAAAATCAATCCTTTCTTTCTCCTATAAACCATTTGTTTTCTCTGAATGTTTTAAGATATGATTGAGAGAATAAAAAAGTTTCCATTTTTAAAAATAAACTTAATAATTTCATGAGAGGAAAATTGCTCTTAGATAGTTCCACATTGCCAGAAACAAAAGAAAATTTAACTAGCATAATTACCTCCTCTTAAAATTACTAGAATTGTGGTAAATAGTGTTTGTAAATCCTTTTTAGGAAGAAAAAAAAATCAGATTAAGCCTGTATGGTATTCAAAATAAAACCCTATTCATTCTACCATCCCAGAAGAAAAATAGTCAACTTTTCAAGAAAACTTACATGGGCAACTTTATGTTTAGTTAAAAAAAAAATCTAAATTGGTTTAGAAATAAGAAAAATGAGGAAAAACAAGTAACTTAAAAAGCTAAACACATCAATATAATAAATAACTCATTAAAAAATGAAAGATAAGATATATGTGAGAAAAAAGGGACAAGGGCCAATAACCTAATCCAAGAATACTTATGAAACGTAATTGCTAGATACTGTTAAAGACTTCCAGTGTACTCATTTTAGGTAAATACTTAAATATTATTTTTAAGTTATTAATAAAGATAGAAATATGAGAAATAAATATAAAGGATGAAAACCAGGCATAAATTACTAATAATCTGTGGTTCTAGAAATGTTTTATAACACAGGTATAACTACAATGGTAATTCTGTATGTGTTGATTTCTATTCTCCTCTTCATCTTTTACGGAAAAGAACTATGAGAAAAATTGCACTGAGACTTTAAATAAAATATTCCCATGGCCTAAGAGAGAAACAGAAACTACAGGTGGCTCAGGAGAAACAGTCAAATGGTAACTTAGTGATGCTACATTAGAAACGCACCTTTTGAAGAGAAATTGGCTCAGGCTTGGATGTGACAGATGCTCTGGGGAGAAGAAGAAAAAATCATGAATTTTTGGAAACGGATAGATTTAATCGAATTTTTATGTTAAAATCATTTGTAGTTTGGTATGTTCACAATCATCACAATCTTCTAATTAATTCATATAAACCAAATGCTGCAAAACCCAACACCTATAATACACTAAATATTCATACCAGTCTCTGGTTCCCTACAAATTCAAAGCGAGACAAACACCAATCCTATTTGCTAAAACATTCATTTTAATCTTTAAGGCTATTCTGTACTTTAAATGGCAAAGTATAATAAACATTGCTTCCTGATTCCTGAGACTGTCCTCAATCGTATAAACGCAGTTCTCAATCTCTACTAGCTTCTGCCTTTTCTCCTAATATATATGACCACATCCAAGGTACTTGGTTTCTTTGTGAAGAAAGTACATATAAGTATAACATATAAATACTTGCTTTTGCTGGTTGAATAGAGTCCCTGAGAATATTTTGTATTTATATTCTTAAGTGTGTATGCACATTAATGTATTTGGTATGCAAAAAACTAAACTAAGTTCTTCCACTAGGCCAGTGTTGCTGAGCCTGTTAGTGCTTTCAATGATAACAAACAGCTGTGGCACACATGCCAAAGGCTCACCACCACTGCGCTAAGATACACTTTCAGTAAAGGCAATGACTACTGTCCTGTTACTATCTTTGTCTTAGCAAAGTTCCTGACACTTCTATAAGTCATATGTAATCAGCATGAAAGGAAAAGAATGAGGAAAGATAAGACAAAAAGCCATGCGTACAACTTGACTAATTACAATTTCAAACAAATTTTAACACATGCATTGTTTTTGCACTCTGTGCCTTTTCATGAGCATGTACTAAACTGTAACAATACTTGGTTTGAAGCATTTAGCCCATATAATCATGATAACAATAAGAGTAAAAAGTTCAAATGAGGAACTTCAAAGTTCAAGTAAATTGCTTAGGATGGAGCTGAGGCCTCCTGTTGTTACATATGATAAGATGCTAACAAAATAATCAGGAAAGCCTCAGATGCTTTAAACACGACTTGCTCAGTACTACGGTGCACGTGATTTTCAATTGCCAGATGCAGTGTGACTCCTTTCATATCACTCCGACCTGAGGAGAGCACCTCAAGTGCAGAATCCAAGACACATAAGCATGGCAGGTAGACAGTGAGTGATACTAATTTTATTCTACAAACCATGAGATTGTTTTATTTATAAAGATAACAACACAAATAGAAGACATTAACATAAGATGGTGGGTCTCTATGAGCATAATGTAGTAATGAATTCTGATCAACATCTTTAGCATCACCTGAATTTTCCAGTAACAGCTCATTTGCTTAGCCATGACAGGCACTGCCAGAAAACTGGCTGGCATAACGAAAGGCCACAATGGGTGATAATATTTGGTTACTGCAATACAGGTTATACCCTGTAGAGCTGCACAAGTTTCCATGTGTACTCCCAGACAGACAATTTGTCTTTTAGCTCACAGTATTATTATACAAGCAAAGGAAACAAGTTCGGTGGAAACAGGAACAGTGAAGTTTTCCTTTTACTGAAATTTCACAGTAAGATGTAATCACTAAGGGTCTACTTATTAAAACCCCCCAAGATATTATTGAAAGTTTGCCAAAACCAATTTTCTTATGCATCTGGATACTTTAAGGTACATACAATAATTGTAGCAACAGGAAAATAAGTCATAAAAAGAACATGGCATTTGATAGTCATTGGGTTTTGAAACTTAAAAATAAAATGTATCTATTCTATGTACTTGAGAACAAGTCCTTTAGTTTTCTATAGCTGTTAATTCTGATTTGAAGAGTGTTAGCAGCAACAACAAAGCCACAGAATTAACTTATTTTGTTGAGAACACCTAGACCGACAAGGACTCTCCACAAATTTTATTAATGGAACATTCTGTTACAAAATGTTCTTCTGCTGCCTGCCTTGCAAGCACAAGGACCCGACTTCAACCCCAGTATCAAAAAAAAAAAAAAAAAAAAAAAGTTTGAAATTTTGAATTCCCACAAAAAATTTAAATGTGAAATTTCAATTATGTTTAAGTAATCAGGGAAAAGGGGGGCTACATGGCCTTAAAATTCCAGGGTTGAATTCATTATATAAACAGCCTGTGGTGGGGGAGGGATAGACTGGCTCATAATTAAATGTCAAATAAAATGGTTAACACGGGATGCAATAAAATTAGTTCTCTTATTTAAATGCTAACCACCAAATGAGTCACAGAATCATTAAGCTTTGAAAAAATGTTCCTTTATTACATGCCCATTGGGTTGTCTGGCTTCTGCTTGAGTATTTCTATAAATTCATAATTTCAGCAAAAATTTCAACTCTTTTGTTAAAAGGTCTTCATTTTAGTGTTTTGCTTTATTTTTGAGTAAACAAAAATCAAGCCATTCACATTAAAATATTTTGAAAAACATTTTAATATAAAGTAGCTGTACATAAAATCTATGTCATCTATTGGTTAAATTTTAAATCAGTAGATTACTAAAACCCTATACACAAATGAAATTGTATATGGATTCTTTTCTAGCACTGAAGATTAAACCCAGGACCTCTGCACTGAGCTACAACCCCAGCACTTTTAATTTTTATTTCTAAACAAAGTCTCACTAAGTCTCCCACACTGGGCTAGGCCTTGCAATCCTCCTCCTTCAGCCTCCCAGAGTTCTGTGATTACAGGTGTATTACACCAAGCTACCAATTACGTAGTCTTACAGTACTAGAACTATGATGGTTCAGGAAACAGCATGCACGACAAGTGAAATCTAGAAAAAAGTTGAATCAAAAAAGAATTGATTTTTAAATCAGCAAATGTTGCCCAGCATGGTGGCACACACCTGTAATCCCAGCACTCAGGAGGCTGATGAAGGAGAACTGCCATGAGTTCAAGGTCAGCCTGGGATACACAGGGAGGTCAAGGCCAGCCTGAACTAGATAGTGAGACCCTGTCTCAAAAAATGAAACATAAAATTAAATAAAAAGCAAATATTACTAATCACAAAAGAACAGAATGAAAATATATCAGTTATTCTGTACAATTATACAAAGATTTTTTTGAATGCTAAAAAATGCTTTTTAAAAATGCTAAATAACTGTTGCTGGGAGATCTATGTATTAGTACAGCTCTTTTGGAAAACACTGAGTATTAAAAGCTTGAAGAAAGCTCATGTTCTCTGATATATTCAACTTTTTGAGAATCTATCGTAAGGAAATAAAATATGAAATAAGTATGCATAAAAATTCATATGCTAGTGCAAAATGAAATAATCTATTAAAAATACAACGCGCAAATGGTTAATTATAATATAAGCACGTGATGAAGCACTGTGCAACAATTAAAATAATTCTCAGAATTCTGCACTGCATGATAAAGTGCTTATTCTATGATACAAAGCACACACAGCATGATCAGCCTATGCAAAAACAGTGAATGGAAACACACCAACATTTTAGGGTAGGTTCTCTCTAAATGCCATTTTTTTCTCTTTTGTGTGTTTTCCACATTTTATACACTGTTACTAATTTTTATAATAAGGAAAACTATTTCTCAAAGCTTATTTCATGGAAAACTACTTTTCAGAAAAACAAAACACAAAAAATCTTGTTATCAAAGATATCTGAAAAAGTGGAGTTAAGAGTTACATAGTATCATAGTTCCAGGACTTCTTAGAGGCTTTAAATACATAACCCAGAAAATACTACAGGGATTGTTGCCTACACACATTTGAAGAACTCATTATTTAGGAAACATTTCTCAAGTTTGGAGTTGGGGAAAGAGGGGTTGGTCTGGAAAATAATATTTTAAAGAAATAGTAAATCTTTCTAACGTCTGAAATCTTTACTTAAATCTTCCACAAGTAGCTAAAATTATGAAACTGTAACATTTTGGTCCTTAAAATTCTCAAAACCTTTTGTTATATAAGTTATCTTATCAAACTAGTATTTTTTAAAAACTATATCTTGTAAGATACTCAAACACAATTTAACCAATGTTTAAGGAAGAAAACTCCATTTCCTTCAGCACACTGCAGTTAAGTCTATTCTCAACGTTTTCTACGGGGGGGGAACCCTAACATATGATTATGGAAACACAAACTTAAGCCTGTTACAATTATCATTCTTTTATTCAAACAAATATTATACTGAGCATTCTATGAGAAATAAATTTTAAAAGATCAGTAAGTGAATAATTAAAAACTGAGATGCAGTTAAAAAACAACTACTCCCACATTTTTCTCTTCGAATCACAATAGGATAATCTCCTCCTCTGGAACTACAGTGATCCATCACACGTCCCCCCCCTTGTGCAACATGTGAGCTTCAAACTACAAAGGAGCCTGGCAATGGCTCCACAATCGCTTACTGTTCTCTTTTCCCTCATGTGAAGCCCTGTACAGAAGAAAGCCATGCTGATGAGATCCTGGCACCTTGGCTGAGGACCATCCACAGCTTGTGGGACTTAAAGACAAAGCAATTGGAGCGGCTTGGAACAGTGTTGTTGAAAGCTGACTGGTTTTTATAAAAGTAGTAATGACATTGAAGATCCCCAATGCATGGACTGCAGGACTTCTAGCTAAACAACTGAGCGTAGTTCTAACAGAGTTATGAAAAACTAGAACTGTGATATACGAGTTAGAACAAGAAACAAAAAAGTTCTTACTTAAATTAGTAATGGCTCCAACATAAATTAAATTCAAAGGAATCAAGCAAAGCTGGTTTTCTGAACACCGATGAGTCGTACTATCATTAAATTATGCTTTTAACTGATGCATTTTTCTAACACTCTTACAAAGTAACATTTTTGAGGAGTCAATAAAGTAGCCAACACATTTCATGATAATGTTTAAGAATGAGAAGTTATGAAATGGAGTGAGACTCATAAAGATACCATAATTCATATTTCTCATTCTGTCTCAGTGACTCCTTCAACCATATTTAATACATTTAACAATCATACAAAAAA